TTGTATGTGGTGCTGAGGATCAAACCTGGGCCGCACGCATGCCAGGCGAGCGCGCTACCGCTTGAGCCACATCCCCAGCCCCTCATGCTTTGTTCTTAAATTTAATTTCTTGTATGTGGTGCTGAGGATCGAACCCGGGCCGCACACATGCCAGGCGAGCGCACTACCACTTGAGCCACATCCCCAGCCCTATTAAATTTAATTTCTTAACAGTGATTCTTCCATGTTTATATTTTTATGAAATTCATTTTTCTGCCATCAGGGATTGAGGTTCTAAAGAAGTTAGGCTTGATTTTACTGTTGTTGAAAGTATAAAGAGTTTCAAGAATTGATTACCTTTTTAAAATTCCATGATTAATAAATTAGAATATTTTAATTCATAATTAATCTTGGACCATTTATGACATAGTTCTCTCTCTTTTTTTGTCCTGGGGATTGATCTCTGGCACTAAACATTGAGTCACATCCCCAGCCCTATTTTGTATTTAAGACAGGTTCTCATTGAGTTGCTTAGCACCTCACTTTTGCTGAGGCTGGCTTTGAACTTTCGGTCCTTCTTCCTCAGCCTGCCAAGCGCTGAGATTACAGGCATACGACACTGTGCCTGGCATAGTTCTCTCTTAAATAATATTTCTACTTTGACCATGGATCCCAAGATGGAATTTTTTTCCTAAAGATGATTTCCACCACTTGAGATGCTGCAAAATTTTATTGTTATCTATTTTTAACCCAAAATAGTGACTTTTAAAAGTAATGTTTACTTTTTTGAAAACAAAGTATTACAGGCTCATGGAAGAAAATTAAATTGCAGAAGTCATCACTATATTTTTGATATGTTGGTTTTTAATGTTATTTTTCTTTGCAATCATCTTATACCAAATACCATATATTTAGAGCATTTGGGGAAGAATTAGATGTGATAATGTATAATGTAAAATTGCTTCTCACATATAATTAGTGCTTTAGAATATGATCAGTTTTAAGGTTTGCTCTTCGCTTTTTGTGTGTTGTGCAATTTCCTCTATAACATTAGTTTTTAACACTTAAATGACTGTACTGTTTTATATCATAGTGTGCACTGTTATATCTGTGCATACTATGTGCACATTTTTCTCATTGAGTATTTATTAGCTTTTTTTTTCAGTCATAAATAATCCTGGAAGAATAATCTTTCTTTGTCATAAGTGATTATTTCTTTACATTGGAATTCCTGGGAGTGATTTTTAACCAATATGTATGAGCATTTTAAAGTTCCTTATAAATATTACAAATTATTCTCTAGGCGATTTATACCTGGTTTAGTGTTTGTGGAGTTTTCAGGTGATTATAGTACCTGGATGCTCAAAGATAATATTACCAGTGATTGTCTCATTGCTTTTATTAGTGTACATAAGGTTAACACTTCTTGTTTATTCTATTAAATTGTTTTGTTTCATGAATTAATTTCTTATAGATTGATTCCTGTATTAGTGAATGGCATGAAGTACTCAGATCTAGATATTATCCTGCTTAAGGTAAGGAAACTTCTGATGAATAGGGAAGATGACTTTTATATTGACCTGGCAGATTTTTAATTTGACCAATAAAACATTAATTTAGAATAGGCCCTATGTAAATAGGCTGCCCGTTGCATATAATAGGCTACAAAAGTCCAAAGACAGAACAATGAATTTAAATGGTTATAAATTCTAGCTTAATTGATATTAGTTACAGTAGGATTATCATTAGTTTGTCTTTGATTTAGATTACTTAGAGTTTATATTTAAATTATTCTTACATATGCTGCTCTGAATTTGATTCTGTTAGATTATATCACCTCATGGAAGGCAATATATAGTGTAGCTAAAGGGCTTGATAGCCTAATAGGTATTGTATGTTGGCCTTTGCTCCCTTTCACAAGGAACTATTTTCTGGATAGGGAAGTAGTTGTTGACAAGGGAGGTATGCTTCAAAATCCTGTGCATTCTAGGCACTGTGACACACACCTTATGATTAGCCATTCAAGGTTTATAAGTTCAAGGCTAACCTAAACAACTTAGTAGACCCAGTCTCAAAAATTTGGGGAGTACAGATGTGACTCAGTAGTAAAGTACTTGCTGAACATGTGTGAGACTCTGGGGTTTGGTCCCCTGTACTACAGAAAACAGTCCTTCACATGACCCCATCCCTGGATATTCTGATTTTTGTTTTTACTTGTGTACATATTACTAGCTTAATGAATATCATGAAAAATTTCACTTTGAAAAAGGGTGATGTGGAAGAAGATGAAACAATTCCTGATAGTGAGCAGGATATAAGACCACGTTTTCATCGATCAAGGACCGTGGCTCAGCAGCATGATGAAGATGGAATTGAAGAGGAAGATGATGATGATGATGAAATTGATGATGATGATACAATTTCTGACTGGAATCTAAGTAAGTTGGAGAAGGAAAAATACAGTTGCCCACTTGGATAACAATTTTAATAAGCTTTAATTCCCCCATTGAAGTCATAATTTAGTGGATTTTAGTATATTCACACAACTATCAGCCATCACCATCTTCAGTTTTAGGACACTTTACATCATCCAAGGAAGAGACCTCGTCCTCATTATTGGTCATTCGCCATTTTCCCCTAACCCTAGGCAATTACCAGTTTATGTTCTTTCTCTATGAAATCTGTCTCTTAGGACATTTCATGTAAATGGAATGGTCCTTTCTATTTTCATTTTCTTCCACTTAGCATAATGGTTTCAAGGTTTATCTATGTCATAGCATATATCAATACTTGATTCCTGTATACCACATTATTTTTCTATTCTTCATCTGATAGACATTTGTATTTCCCTTTTGGCTGTTGTGAATATTGATTCCATGAAGATTCGTGTACAAGTTTTTATGCGAACATACATTTTCATTTCTCTTAAATATATGCCCAGGAGTGAGCTTCATGATGGATCATGTGGTTTCTGTTTGTTTAACCTTTTAAGGAACTATCAGGACGTTTTCCAAAAGAGGCAGCACCATTTTATTTTCTCATCACCAATGTCTGAGGGTTTCCGTTTCTCTTATTACATCTGGTTTTTTTTTTTTTTTTTTAATGTGAGGGGGTATCATTGTGCTTTTGGTCTGCATTTTACTTAGTCTCTGCTCTTGTATTTAATTATCAGACTTCTTACTAAAACTGTTTCTCAAAAGACTAAATATTTTGAAATAATAAAATAGGAATGTTGCCATAGCTTTTCATAAGTTTTTTTTAACGCGTGATAATTTGCATGCTATCATATTCCTTTGAAATATTCAAAACTTGGGAATCTGTTGATTTTCAACCTTACCTTCAAGTTCACATAGCCTGTGCAGCTGGCATTCTGACCCACACTAATTGGGATGGGGCCAGTACACCTTTGTTTTATTTTTGGTTACTTGCTGATTTTTTTAAACTACTGCTGTATTTCAGCGTTTCTCAATCTCAGCACTATTGGCATTTGGGGCCACATAATTAATTCTTGTGGAGGCTATTCTGTACATTATAGAATGTTTAGCAGCATCCCTAACTTCTGTCCAAAGATGCCAGCAGTGTACACACCATTGTGACAACCAACGATGCCTCCAAACATTGCCAGAAGTCACCTGGGAGATAAAATCACCCCCTTTTGTTAGTGTTGGAATTTCAAAAAATTTTGAGAAAATGGTTAGAGGTTTGTATCATCAGCTCAGAGTATGTGATTTGATTAGATGATGGTAATTCTTGCCCTGTTACCTAGTTTCCTGTAACATTTTATTTAGAGTGCCTAATGTACAGGCACTAGGCCAAGAACTTTGCAGTTAAAGGTAGATAAGGAAACTGCAGAAAGACAAAACTATTGCAAGATTAACGTAGGTACTACTGATAGCACATCCAGTATTAGAACCCAAGTCTCAGCACTTAACAAGACAATCCAAGGTCTTCACTACTGTCACAAATTAACTGCTTGCATATCCCTGCTTTCAAGTTGAAAGGGCAGAAAAGATCAAGAGAATATACTTATATCTACTAAAGTAGTACTGTGTGTGACGCAGGGGAGGAGAGACACTTCCTCTTCACATCCTTTTACTCATCTTTATATCCTTCCAGAAGCTGCTTTTTTTTTTTTTTTTAACATATGGTAAAACATTAAAGTTGAAGTCAAATTTTGAAAAACAAAATTAGATATATGTAATTTGCTGCTCTGCCTTTCTATGAAGCCTATACCTCATATCAGTCTTCTCTTGCATGTCACTGTACTGTTCAATTCTATGGATCCAGCGTGCATATAGTGTAACTAAGATTCTTTTTGATGGTTAAGGTGTTACTTGACTGACATAACAGCGTTTTTTTGCTTTTTGAGCATATATTTATTTAGCCATGCTACAAGTATTAGGTGACACACATGTTTTCATCACTTAAGCCAAACTTCAACGAAATGTGGGGGAAACAAAACCCCACAGTAACCCAAGACAGTCACAATCGCTCAGGACTCGTGAGAAGCAATTCTCACCATAACTGTGAATTTCAAGATGCATCCTCTGTGATTCCATTTCTTTCTTTCCTACTCTAGAAAAGATGCCAGAAAAGAATTTTTTTTGTTTTATTTTGTTTTTTAAGGGATAATCTATTACAATTGTATGGAAAGCAAATAATTCTCAGACTTCAGTGCTTCCATATAGAATGGCAACCAAGCATTTCCTTATATTTCCCCTTCCACCCATAACTTTGTCTGATGGGATGGCATTAGAATCAGGATTTTTTTTTTTTAAGAATTGTATCATTTCTAATAGTTTGTAATTAGTTATTTGCTATTATTCTTATTTCACATTGGAAAAATTATTATGCTTTATATTTTCATTGGTTCTTACCTAAGTTGTTAGGTTAATAAAATTCAAGTTATTTTATAGTTAATCCTTTGTAAAGAATATTTTCTAACATTTTATGCTTCATTTGGTGGTGACTTTTGTTCCAATTTATGGGCCTAACTTCCAGCCAAATGATTATATACTTGATTCTAAATGGTCTACCACTAGAAATGTTAAATGGAATTAATAAATGGATATATTATTTTTCCTCAGGATTTTAACAGTAGGTATTCTATTTTGGAAGTATTGAATGGAGTGGAACAGTATTCATTTTAATTTTTCTATGTAGTCAGTAGAATTCTAGTCTGACCTCCATGTACAGACTTAAATGTCTGCATAATTATTTTGCTAATTCTTTGTCATACAAGCATATTCTCTTTAATAGATTCTTTTCATGTGACTACCCTCTATTTAATTGAATTCTTAACTCTAAAGGTATGACTAAAACATTATACATATAGTATTTATGTTTAAATACGTAATTAAGTGATAATAGAGATTAATATAATTATTTTTTAATTAAATATTTTCTTAGGAAAATGTTCTGCTGCTGCCTTAGATGTTCTTGCAAATGTATATCGTGATGAGCTATTGCCACATATTTTGCCCCTTTTGAAAGAATTGCTTTTTCATCATGAATGGGTTGTTAAAGAATCAGGCATCTTGGTTTTAGGAGCAATTGCTGAAGGTAAGTCCATTTTCGATTGTAAAGTCCTCAATACGTGGTATAAGGCTGGGCTACTTTAAGGAATTGTTACTCTGTAAGCAACGAGGGTTCACTCTGGATTTACATACTGGATTATTCTCTGGTAAAGCCAGTATGGCATAGACAAAACTGTGATCCATATTAAACTAAAAGAAATCATTGAATCCAAAAGCCATCTTGGGATAAGTTTCTATTCTATTTTGAACCATTTTTAAATGATTAAACAGTCTTGGATTTACTTCTTATCCTAGACAGGTCACTTTGCAGATATTTTTGTTAGTGTAGAGGGAACAAAAGGGCTCTGATGTCTGAAGCATTTTTGCTAGAAAAATAGCTTTGTTTTCTAAGAAGTTTGGGACACCTGAGAAAAACAGGAGTATCATCATCCTGTATAAAGATCTTGTTTTGGTTGTAAACATTCATCTACAAGAAATAAAACAGGCATTTCTGCAAGCTGTAATTTTTTAGCAGAGGTAAAATGAAGTCCTAATCCTACTAAAAAGAACTTCAGGGGAGCATTTAACTCTGTTTTCCATTATTTTAAAGTAATGTTGGTATAGATTATTATAATATATTTACAGCAGTGAGAATACACTGAATATTTTTCATGGGTACATGTGTCACTTTTGTATTCAACTAAAAAATTTTAAACCACATTTGGCACCTTTTGAAAGTTTTTTGTTATTTTGTTTTTTCTAGGTTGCATGCAGGGCATGATTCCATACTTGCCTGAGCTTATTCCTCACCTTATTCAGTGCCTCTCTGATAAAAAGGCTCTTGTGCGCTCCATAACATGCTGGACACTTAGCCGCTATGCACACTGGGTAGTTAGCCAGCCACCAGACACGTACCTGAAGCCATTAATGACAGAATTGCTAAAGCGTATCCTGGATAGCAACAAGAGAGTCCAAGAAGCTGCCTGCAGGTGGGACAAATTTATAACATAGTCTTCATTATGGAATTGGTAATTAAGTGAGAGACAAATTTTCAAACTTGTGATGGAGTGTTGACATTAAACCATTAATGTAATATTTCGTAACAGAAAACTCCAGCAATAGAAGTTGTTTTCCTTTTTTTGATGCTGGGGATTGAACACACATAGGTACTTAACCACTAAGCCATATCACCATCCTTTTTTATATTTTATTTAGAGACAGGGTCTCACTAAGTTTCTGAGGCTGGCTCTGAACTCAAGATTCTCCTGCCTTAGCCTCCAGAGTCACTGGGATTATAGGTGTGTACCACCAAACTTGGCTCCTCCCTGCTTTTTCTTAGTGAATTTTTTATAGGACTGATATGTGTTGTTGGGAATTGCACATTTTGTTAGGCTGATAAATTTCTATTTACAACTGTTATCTGATGTTTTTATGCATCGAAATGTGATTCTATCTGAATTTCATTCAGTCTTTGCTTTTCTTCCTCAATTTGTTCTTTTTTCCATTCAGTGGCTATGATAACAGTAGAGTTATCTCACATCCTTATTCTCTCAGACAACTGAAGAGAATAAGTGTGTTGCTGGCAGGACTTCTACTCTTAAAGGAATAGCAAAGTTTGAGTAGATTCATTCATATATTTAGTCTACAGGTCAATTACCGTAACTCCACAGAAAGTCCTACAAGTTTATGGTTTGTCACTTATCATCTGTGACTTTTTAATTTTTTTGAATTTTAATTTGTTATACATGACAACAGAATGCATTACAACTCATATTACACATAATAGAGCATAATTTTTCATTCCTCTGGTTGTACACAAAGTAGAGTCACATCCTTTGTGTCTTCATATATGTATTTAGAGTAATGATGACCATCACATTCCACTGTCTTTCGTATACCGATATACCTCTTCCTTTCCCTTCCTCCCTTTCCCCCTTTGCCCCCCCTCCTCTTTGCCCTATCTAGAGTTCATTTAATCCTCCATTCCCCCCACCCAGCATATTATGAATCAGTATCCTTAAATCAGAGAAATCATTTGGCATTTCGTATTTTATGATTGGCTAATTTCACTTAGCATTGTATTATCCAGCTCCATCCATTTACCTGCAAAGGCCGTGATTTTATTCTCTTTTAATGCTGAATAATATTCCATTGTGTATATATACCACATTTTCTTCAGCCATTCATCTACTGAAGGGTATCTAGGTTGTTTCCACGATTTAACTATTGTGAATTGCACTGCTATAAACATTGATGTGGCTGTGTGAGCACTAATATCTAGAATATGTAAAGAACTCAAAAATCTTCACACCAAAAAAAAACCATATAACCCAATCAATAAATAGGCAAAGGAACTGAACAGACACTTCTCAGAAGATAATATACAGTAAGTCAACAAATATTTGAAAAAATGTTCATCTAGCAATTAGAGAAAAACAAATCAAAACTACTATAAGATTTCATCTCACTCCAGTCAGAATGGCAGCAATTAAGAATACAAATAACAACAAGTGTTGGCGAGGATGTGAGGGAAAAGGCACACTCATACATATTGCTGGTGGGACTGCAAAATGGTGCAACCAATATGGAAAGCAGTATGGAGATTCCTTAGAAAACTTGGAATAGAACCACCGTTTGATCCAGCTATCCCACTCCTCAGTCTGTATACCCAAAAGGACTTAAAAATAGCATACTACAGGGAAACAGCCTTATCTGTGACTTTTGATGCTTAGTGGATCTGTGCCCCTAGCTATCTGTCAGTTAGATTTGAGTCTCTCTTTTATAAATCAGACCTCCTGCTTTCATTAACACAGGTATTTGGTTCCTACAACAAACCTTTGTGTTCTAAAAAGGCTGCCACTTATCACTCTTTTTCAAGTAGAATTGCTTCTATTATTGATTCTTTTTTCTTTTTCTTTTTTTTAACTGGAAATTAAACCCAGGCACTTACCACTGAGTTATGTTTTCAGTCCTTATTTTTTATTTTGAGGCAGGGTCTTGTTAAGTTGCCCAGGCTAGGCTTGAATTTTTAATCCTCCTGCCTCTGCATCACAAGTTGCTGTGTTATAGGCATGCACACCCTACCTGGCTTACCATTGACTTTTTCCCCCTTCTTATTCATAATAGCTTTACTCTTTTTGCCTTTTTTTTTTTTTTAAGTTGTTGATGGGCCTTTATTTATTTATTTGTACGTGGTGCCGTGAATCGAACCCAGTGCCTCACGCATGGTCTCACTAAGTTTCTGAGGCTGGCTCTGAACTCAAGATTCTCCTGCCTTAGCCTCCAGAGTCACTGGGATTATAGGTGTGTACTACCAAACTCAGCACCCTATCACTGAGCCATAATCCCAGCTCCCATTGACTTTTTTAACAGGAAAAAAAATAACTGTTGCAAAGAGGAAAGTAAATTTGAGTTGAACCGTACTAGGTCTGAAGCACTAATACCTAGCAGAGTTCTAATTCTTAATGAGATCGGGAAAAGCTGAACAAGGGGGCTATGCACTAAATCTTTTTTTAAAAGTTGGAGAAGGATATAGATTGGTTTCCTGTGATTTATTCATTCAGTACATTTTGATTTTTTTGTTGTTGGTTTTTAGCTACTAGTTGTTATACATATTAGATGCTAGGATTATAGTTTCTGCCATCTTAAAACTTACAGTATAGTAGGAAATGCCTAATAACTGTGTATTTGTAATATATGGCAGATGCTAGAAAGGTAATGGATAAATAGTTCTGAATGCTAATGAGTAGGACTTTCATTGGCATGACTAAGGTTTTCATTTTTACTATCAAGACATTTAGATATCAAGTTGAAATAATTGCACCGAGACTCAAGTTTTTCCTGTGTTACTATAATAATCCTTGATGTGCTTATACATATGAAGGATGAGGTGTAAAGTAGAATTTAACTGTTTTAATTCCAATTTCACTAATCCAGAGCAATCCAAGCTCCCTGAGAAGAGAGGCTTGTTTTCTCCTAACCATATTCCCATTACTCAGTAATTACATAAATAGTTCAGCACTAAATAAACTTGTTGAATTAGTGAATACACAGATGAACAACATTTACAGTTTTTACCACTGTAGCTAAGCAGATACCCATGGAAACAGCCTCTTTGAAACGAAAAAGTGATTTTAAACAATGGAAAAGAGTTAAAATAAGCAACTGGTGTGTGTGATGAGGCAAGGAATATAAAATGTAAATAGGTACTCTGTAAGATTGTTTCCTATCTATTGTAAGTTATTTCTTTTACACAACAATAAATATTTATTCTTTTTTAAAAATTTTAGTGCCTTTGCTACCCTAGAAGAGGAGGCTTGTACAGAACTTGTTCCTTATCTTGCTTATATACTTGATACCCTGGTCTTCGCATTTAGTAAATACCAACATAAGAACCTGCTTATTCTTTATGACGCCATAGGAACATTAGCAGATTCAGTAGGACATCATTTAAACAAGCCAGTAAGTATCTAAGCTATTTTCAATAAGATAGCTTGAATTTGGGAATAAAAAGACTTGGAAATATGAGGTTAATTTTTGCTTCTTTAAGAATATAGATCTTAGAAAGGCAGCAAGTGTATCCTTTCAAATAGTGAGGAAATTACAATAGCATCTCTTAGGAATGCACCAATGGGTGACTAGAGGAAAAGAAAAGAATTTATATTCTAGATTCCTACTTTTCTTTAATTCCAAGTGTTTTTTGTATCTACCACTCTATAAACACTAACTTTTAATTACCACATCTAGTTTTTTCTTCAGAATGTGCAATATATTGGGTGTACTATATGAAACAATTAGAAATTGAGGCAATAGGTTAAAAATGCTATGTGGTACAAAAGGATCTTGTCTGTAGTAATAGTGTAGAAGAGGACAGTAGATTTGTTTGACTAGGATTTATATGATGATAGAATTTTAGTGTAGCTTAATTTCCCAGGTGAAGAGTTGAAAAATGTTTTGATACATGTGATTGCTAAATCAAAAGTCTTAAGATGTTTGAGATGGTTGGTTTGTAGGATTGCTTTGGTGTTAGTTTGATTGGAGGATAGGTTGTGTTTTCTGGGTGTCTTCAGAATCTGTACCGCTTATTTATATGATTATTATGATTATTGGCTTTTTTATTGGTTATTCTTCAGTTTAAATATGTTCTCTTTGCTAATTGTGAATCTTTTTCCTCATGTAAGTTTATCTGTTCATTTATAATGTGCTATATAAAAGCAAAGCTATTTTTTGTGTAACATTCCATTTTACTTGTAACATTCTGTTACAGAAGAGTAGAACTTAAATGTCCTTTTGATTGTAATTTAACAAACACTACATTTTGATGTAGTGATGTATTTATTGATGTACATTTTGTTTCAAAAAGAATGTAAGATGATATGGTCATCTAAATGAAAAAGTAGGCAAAAAATTTTAAAGTAACTATTTAGGGTAGAGAATGAGTCTTAAAATGCCTTCTGTAATGATTTTATACAATTGCTCTAAATGGATTTTAATTTTCAGTAGACTCAATGGACTTATTTACATATGATAGTGGAGCTTTACATGTTTTTCATCATTGTAAATAGGAATATATTCAGATGCTAATGCCTCCACTGATCCAGAAATGGAACATGTTAAAGGATGAAGATAAAGATCTCTTTCCTTTACTTGAGGTATGCTGGGCTGGTAATATTTAGCTAATTTAACATGGTGTGTCATCAAAAATACATGTTTTAATCCAAAATGGGTTTTATGATAATAGTGTTAATAAGTTGATATATTCAGCACCATTTCTGTTTTAAATATTGAATAAATAAAAAACTTCTTGTTACTTAAGTTACAATACATTCGTATGAAGAATTACTGTTAAATAGAAAAAGTGTAATGGACATTATATTTTTTAAAAGTAGACAAAGGTTTTTATTGTACAGTACTCTAACTACTCTATGGATAATAAATGTATTTATAATATGTTTTCTGTTGTTTTGTGTTATCTGTTCACATTACATGTGAAGTAGCTTTAGGACTTTTGCTGATGTGGAGAGACTTCACTTTGTATTTTTTTAATTTGAAATTTTTTCCATGTATGTTTATTATTTTATTCTTTAAAGATATTTTATATGGTGTTCAGTATGAAACGTGACAGACCTACTTGAATTGACTTTATTAGAGCCATTTTGAGTCATTTTCATTTTTATTCCCCGTATAATATTAAGGGTCACCAATTTCTCCATGGATTATCCCTAGACAGGAATTGAAAATCTTCTGAAACTAAGAACAACAGCTAATTTCTTCTTTTTTTTTTTTTTTTTTTTTTTTTTTTTAAGAGTGAGAGAGGAGAGAGAGAGGATTTTTAATATTTATTTTTTAGTTCTTGGCGGACACAACATCTTTGTTGGTATGTGGTGCTGAGGATCGAACCCAGGCTGCACGCATGCCAGGCAAGCGCCCTACCGCTTGAGCCACATCTCCAGCCCCAACAGCTAATTTCTAACAGAACAAAAAGAATCGTAGTTATTGCATACTATTGTTTAGGGAATAACAATACCCTTCCCCCAATTTGTGCATGTTTAATACAAATGCACCTTCTTTTTTATTTCTCTTAATATTTTTTACCACAAATTGAATCCATGGATAGAGGGTTTAAATATATGTTTATGTATATTTACTTTTAAACAAGGACTCCATGTGTCCAATAAAGTCTAGCCACATCTTTGGAATAGGGGCATAAATTATCACTTATATTTGAGGGAAATTTTGAACATATAGTCTGTCCTTGAAGGACAAATTCATTATAGAAACTTCTTTACATTCTCTTCTGAATTAACCTCTCCTGATAGGCTGGCAAGCTGACAACAATAGTGACATCCAAAGGAGGGGTTTGAAAAGATAAACTGGTTGCTCTAGACTAGTAGTAGAGCAGACTCATAAACAACTAGGATCCTTTTGAGTTGTTTTAAGCATTTATCACAATCTGAAGTTTACCCAGAATATTTTAGCATGTGTACTTTATTCTTTCTAGTGCCTATCTTCAGTTGCCACGGCCCTGCAGTCTGGCTTCCTTCCATACTGTGAACCTGTGTATCAGCGTTGTGTGAATCTAGTACAAAAGACTCTTGCACAAGCCATGGTATTTTCTTTTCATATCTAAAGTTGGACATAAAGTATACAAACTTTTTCAGAAATTGATTAAAAATAAAATGTGTTTAATTGTAGCTAAACAATGCTCAACCAGATCAATATGAGGCTCCAGATAAAGATTTTATGATAGTGGCTCTTGATTTACTCAGTGGGCTGGCTGAAGGTCTTGGAGGCAACATTGAACAGCTAGTAGCCAGAAGTAACATTCTAACACTAATGTATCAATGCATGCAGGTAAGATTTGTAAGATTAAAATGAATCAAAACCTGGTTCATCCTGTCACCTTGGGATTAATTTCTTCTTCTCTCTTACAGGATAAAATGCCAGAAGTTCGGCAGAGTTCCTTTGCCCTATTAGGTGACCTGACTAAAGCTTGCTTTCAGCATGTTAAACCTTGTATAGGTATGAATATTTTCTGCCGTGGATGTGGGTTTTTTTAAATTATTTTTACATTAGGTTTGCTTTTTACTAAATTTTATTAAAAATTTTTGTGGAATCTCAACGTTTATATAAGTATATAGTTTTACTACTGGCCAATGTAAAGGTGCTTTCATCAAAGCAGGTAGGATGTGGGAACTCCAGTTTCCTTGAGCTCACCGTCTATTCAGCAGCCCTTTAGGCATCCTGTGACTGGAAGAAATTGTGAGTAGTACCAATTTAGAATTAACAGACATGCCCACCAATGAAGCCTTCATACTGAGTGCTAGTCAGGCATCTTCATAAGTAGCCTCTTTTTTGGTAGTGGTACCCAGAAATAGTATCAGGTTTTCTTCTTTAATGCACCAGCATACCTTTTCAGATATCTAGGAAATTTTAAATAAATATCACTTTTAAAACAAATGATGGGTTGGGCACAGAGCTCAGCAATAGAGTTCTTGCCTGGGTTCTGGTTGATTCCTAGTACTACAAAATAAATTATATATATTTGTTTTTAATAGCATAGCACTTATCCTAACCTTTTATGAAGATAATAAGGGATTCCTTAAATATTGTAATCTCAGTTTCTCAAACCTATGGTCAAGTGATTTGAGTTTTTTTGTTTGTTTGTTTCCTTCCTTTCTGTAGTGATAATTATTTATAATATGTTATTTAAACCTAATTTAAAACACCTACACGGCTTTTTACCTGCTATGGTTGTGCTTTTGAATAATAATAATTTCTAGACTTTGAGTAATAACATTAGGATATGTTAAGAGCCATACTAAAGATTTAAACCCAACCACTATAAAAATATAATGAATGCTTATATTGTGGGGAGCTAGTCATACAAATATTTATTACCTATTATTTTTTAATTAAAGATAATTTTTAAACTTTTTATTAAAATTTTTTAAAACAATAAAGTATAATAAGCTTTCTATTACTGTGTCAGTATATGTACAATTTTGTCTCCTCTATGCCACTATCCATAGACAGAAGTACTAAAAATTCTTTTCATTTGTTTCTGCTATTAAACCAAGGATTTTTGTTGTTGTTGTTTTGTTTGTTTTGTCCTAAATAGTTTGTCATACTCTGTATTTTACTAATTGCATCTCTCTGGTGCCATTGAAGATACTTCTAAGTTTTGTATTTAATAATACATTGGCATTCAGATCTAGAGACAGGTTCAGTGAGATTCCAGGGTAAGTGGTATTGTGTACTTTCTTGAAGAGGCATTTGATATCTAGATTTCATTTAGTTTGTTTTCTTTTTTGTAATGTTGTCAATCATAATGAGTATTGTCTAGATTAGTGGTTCTAGTGGGGCAATTTTGGTCTCGAAGGAATATTTTCCACTATGTTGAGGCAATTTTTTTAACATTAGGGAGGTGTTTTACTGGTATTCATTGCATATAGGCAGAAGGTATTTGTAAATATCCTATAATAGATGAATTAAATATCCTGTAACACATCCTTTCCCCTATAACAAAGAATGATCTGGCCCATTGAGAGAAATCCTATTTTATGGTTCTGGAGGCTCATATGTAATGAGAGCCTTCTTATTGTATCCCAACAGTAAAAGTTTTTACTGTTTACATTGGCACTTAGATCTAGATTCAGGTTTAATGAGATTCCGGGATTCTTGTCCTTTTATCAGAAATCCATACCAACAATAACATTATTAATCTATTCATGATTAAATGAATAGATCTAATCATTCATGAATAGCAAAGCCCTTAGGATCCAACCCCCATACACACACTTTTTTTTTTTTTTTTGTACCAGGGATTGAACCCAAGACCTTGTGCACGTGAGGCAAGTGCTCTATTGCTGAGCTACATTCCAGCCCTTTTTTATTTTATTTTTTTGAGATAGGGATTTTTTGCTGTCTGACCTCAACCTTGTGATCTCCATGCCTAAGCATCACAAGTAGTTGGTATAACAGCTATGCATCACCATGCACAGCCTGTTAAACTTCCCACCCCACTCTCCCCAACTCATTTCCTTTTTTTGGTGGTGTTGCTGGGGTTTGAACCCAGGGTCTTGTGTATGCAAGGCAAGCACTCTACCAACTGAGCTATATACCCAGCTCATTTCTTTTCCTTTCTTTCTTTTTGGTACCGGAATTTAACACAAGGGCACTTTTCTACTGAGCTACATCCCCATCCTTTTTTATTTTTTGTTTATTGCTGAGTTGCTTAAGTTTTCATTTAAGTTCGAAGTCTGGCTTTAAACCTTTGATCCTCTAGTCACTGGAATTATAGGCATGTACTGCCACACCCAGCAAGTTTCCATCTCTTAATACCATCATAGGGGCAATTAATTAAATTTTGGCCTGAGTTTTGGAGAAGGCATTCAAACCATTGCAACCCACTAATTTATCAAGAGTTAAAAATTTATTATGCTGGGCATCCTGGCCCACGCCTGTAGTTATAATAGGCCAAATATGGTGACATTCCTGTAATCCCAACAATTTTGGAGACTGAGGAAGAGGATTACAAATTCAAAGCCAACTCAGCAGCGTAGCTAGGCCTTAAGCAATTTAAGATCCTATCTCAAAATAAGAACAAAGAAAGCTTGAGGATATGTCTTAGTGGTTAAGCACCCCTGGTTTTGATCTCTGGTTACTGCCCCCCATCATGATATTCTCATTCTTTATTTAATAGTGAGAATATTTGTAAAAGAGGCATTTGCCATATTAATTGTTACCCTGAAGTACAAATCATGTAAGAGGTACAGGGTAATTACTTGATTGCTTCTCTTTATTTATCAATTTTCAAAATAACTATTTGATTCCCAGCATCCTCCAAGGGTATCTTTTGTGTTTTAGCTTGTGTGTGTGTGTGTGTGTGTGTGTGTGTGTGTGTGTGTTTTAACATCATTATGAAGTCATAATCAAATTGTCATGCTGCTAGCAGTGGAATTTGAATCAAGTTGGTCCCTGGGTTTTTTTCTGTTATAGCAAGACTGTCTAGACTTATTTTGCACATTTCCTTCCTTTTCCTATAATGAGATATTTCTTTGCAAGCCCTCCTTTCTTTTAGTGGAAAGTAATATTAAAAGACTTCAAATTGGGCACTAGAGTGAAAGTTGCTTTAAAACCAAAGTCATGGATTGTTTTGTTTATTTTTATTATTATTATTTTTTTTTTTTAGGAAAATTCCTTTTTTATCATGTTTTCTGTACTCCTTCCCGACCCCAGGGGCATTTAACCATTGAGCCACATCCACCAGCTGTTTTTGTATTTTATTTAGAGACAAGGCCTCCTTAAATTGCTGAGGCTGCCTCTGAACTAGCCTCCCAAGCCGCTGAGATCACAGGCATGTGCCATTGTGCCTGGCTGTGTTTTCCTCACTTTTAATTTGAATTTTCTTAGTCTCACAAAAAGATTACTCGATTTCTAAAGATAACTAAAATGGGCCAAAACTCAGTTTCCTGGATTAATTCAAAATAAAAATTCAGTAGCCAGACAATTACCTCCTTCTGTTCCCTAAGATAAATTTTACCAACCATTAAGAAGTGTTTTCCAACAATTTCATAATGTTTATTTTATGGTAAAACATTTTTTGCCTAGATTTATGTTTCTACTGAGTAGGTTCCCTTTGAAATTTAATAGACTACTATTTAGAAGTTTATTACTTAGTTTTCTTTTTTTTTTTTTTTTTCAAGCCGATTTTATGCCAATATTGGGAACCAATCTAAATCCGGAGTTCATTTCGGTCTGCAACAATGCCACATGGGCAATTGGAGAAATCTCCATTCAAATGGGTAAGAGGTTTTCCACTCCCAGAAAAGTATAAATTTTTAGATTTAGACTTGTTAATGTTTTCATAATTGGTTTTTGCTTTTTTTAAATTTAATTAAAAATATTTGTGTGCATACATATATATAAAGCTATGTCACATTTAATAAGGGAAGCATAATGTTGTACACTAATGTTTTAACATTCATTTTTTTTCTCTTTTTTTTTTTCTTTTTTCTCTTTTTGTGGGATGATCTAGGTATAGAGATGCAGCCTTATATTCCTATGGTGTTGCACCAGCTTGTAGAAATCATTAACAGACCCAACACACCAAAGACGTTGTTAGAGAATACAGGTACCATATAACTGAACTGTTATGGTGAAAAGAAAATTAGTTGTCTTTTAATATTAAGATGCGTAGAGAAACCAAAGCAATAAACTAGCTTTAAAAACTCAGCTTTTTATATTTATTTTGAATTCTCACTAACAAAAAGTATTCTTTTAACTACATTCCATAACCAGTTTTCGGAAACATTTGAAAAATACTTTTTCCTCCCCTATTTCCATGTTTTAATACTCCCTAAAATGGATTCCAGCTAACTATTGAACTGTATGAATTTTGCTTTTTTAATTAATCCAGAGTGTAACTGAGAGATGCAAAGTGCTGATTTTTTAATCTATGAAAATCTGGCCAAAAATAGATTGCAATTCAGTGACTAGCTGGTTAACTGTGGCGTTTGTATTTTGTATTTCATCATAAAATTTCCTTCAGTTGGGAACTCATGCAGTTCCTTATAGGAGTTTTATTTAGGAGGCTTGTTTCTCTTTTGCATTTACCGAGAGCATGTTTATATTAAAGAGTACCTTCCATACTATAGAACACACTTAGGGTGATTGAGGCCTATTTTTTCCATCATCCCTGATTGTTGCTAATAATGAAAGATTTAAGTTCTGTATTCATTCAGGCACATCCCTTTCTTTATATCCTAACATAATTCTAGTAATTTATTCATAGTCAATGAGGTTCTTACCAAATACTGAACAAAGAGTAAAATAAGGTTTTCCAAATTAGAAAGGTTTTCCAAATAAGAAAGTTTGTTTTCAGAGACACTTTAATTTGGTATTTTTAAATTATAGAGTTGATTTTTGTCTTTACGTAATTAAAATTGACATTGTTTATTGGTATGGAAGGAAATCTTTTAAATATGAAATGGTTATCTGGCTGTTTGGCTGTATGGGTACTGTTTACTTCACAAAGTTAATTAGATTTTCTTGTTGAAAAGTGAAAGTCTATTAGGATGGTTATGAAACCTTGTCAGACTTTTATCTCCTTAGAATGCAGTACCTATACATGACATTCAGATTTGAAACACTTGCCATTATAAAATTATTGTTGAACCTAAACAAAACTTCCTATTTATTTTAAATGTGAATGCATAACTGCAAATAAATGTTGAGTGTAATGTATATTAAAGTTTCTTGTGGGATATCAGCTGATGAATTTGTTATTTAGTTCCTTTAGCAAATTGGCTTTATATAGAAGATCTACATTTATATATGATTATGTCAAGTAAATAATAAGGTAATTGATAATACTCAGTTTGATGGATTCAATCAAACTGAGAAACAAGCTTGATATTCATTAGATTACTTTTAACTGCAAGTGACTACATAAAATTCTGTCTTCTTTATTCCTTATCCAAAAGAGAGTGGGTTTTTGATTATTAAATGAAAATCATTATCTATAGTTTTAGCAATTTAATTACCATTATCTCACTATTTCACAAAACCAATTCCTTAGTATGCCATTATTGCTTTTTTTTCTAATTAGTATATCCTACACTGAACTTTTTCAATGGACCATCATCTGCTTTATCGCATGTTTCATTGGATTGTTCATACTTGCCTGTTTAATGAGAATGTTGCATAGTTTGTGTCTTTTGAACATAGGTTTTCTTTCTCTTGCTTCATATGAATCTGCTGAATTTTAGTATTATCTGTGTAGTTTGCTTCGAGTAATCCTTAAACATTTTTCTTTACTCCCCCCACCCCTTTTTTTATGAAAGGTTAACCTGTAAGTTTTTGAGAGAACACCATTAAAGCACTTCATGGTTTGTTTTCTGTTTGTATTTTTTCCCGTTGTGTATAAATGTATTTATATGTATGTACTTTTGAATTGCAGAATGCAGTTCTAAATTGCACTTGTTTTAGGTCTTTGTAAGTTTCAGAGCTCCTGAGTTTTGATGATAAATGTTTGTCCCCTTCAAAATTTTTTAAAAATTAAATATTAGCATGCTATCAGTATAATGTGTTAACTATTTTATGTTAAACCTTTACTATAGTAGAGACAATATTTTTTTCCCTATGGTCCACATATCACGTGTCAGAACAGTGGACTATATTAGAATTTTATTTTAAATATGGTTTGAAATTAGTGGACTATTAACTTGAGTTTTCAGAGGTCTATTGGAATGGAATTTGACATAGTATAGCAATTTTCCAATCTATTCATTCACTGGGTAACATACTATTTAAAATATGACAATTGCTTTTGATATATCAGGCAACAGATACCTGCTGGCTTGTTGGAAAATGTTAAATCAAACTATATACTAGAAAAATTTGAATTAATTTTCTTAGATAATTTTCAAAGAATGAAATAATTTATAAAAGGAGGTACAGGGAAATGACAAGTAAATTTGAACTGTTATAGCTACAGAGACATGTTTGAAAATTCATTAATGTAATTATATTTACTAATTCTTGGGGGAAATGTAGGTTTCATATTAAATTCTGAAATTGACTGGCTTTAAATGATTCTCTAAATCCATTCATTTTAATCTCTCTCTTTTTTTCTTAAACTATTTGAGCAAGAAAAGCAATTCATCATGGTTTTTGGTGTTCTCTCAATCTTTAGAGTTTTTTTAATTCCTTTTGTTTTTTCTTTTTCCAAAAGTATGCCATATATGTTGCTGCCCCTTATTTAGGGGGTGGTAATAAACAGCACTGGTGAAATCTTATGTTTATTATCATACACAAATTCTGTTGGTTTCTGTTTCTGAGTTATTTGTTGTTTTTTCTTTATTTTTTCTCCTTCCCCCTCATTTGCTCATGTCTTGGTTGGCGTTTGGTGGTGTATAACCGTGATTGCGTTACCTTAGCAATAACAATTGGTCGTCTTGGTTACGTTTGTCCTCAAGAGGTGGCCCCCATGCTACAGCAGTTTATAAGACCCTGGTGTGTATTATTCAATCTTTTTTTTTAATTCATTTTTCTTCACTATTTCTTTCTCTTTCTATCTCACTTTTAGATATATTTTCAGTTGGTTACAAAATTCACAATCCTTAATCATTGCCAACCATGTGACTAATCTTGTCCTATCAGGTTTGTGAGGTTTTTTAGTAGCATCGTCATGTATATTTATTTTATGTTGTGGCTAACGACTAATTGATGCATGGGATAAGATTGTCACATGCTTGCTGTGTTAAAAAGCTTGATTATACATAAAAAGCATTTAAATATCCACCAGAAAAATTAAGATGCATGCAATTTCTATAAATTTAGGATTTTGCATTATGTTTCTTTTTTAAAATTAATTTGGAAACTTGGATTGCATTAAATACATGTTTAAATTTGTTATGTATAAAATCTTATTTGCTTGTTAATGTAAAAGTTAAACATCTACACCATAAGTTGTATAGTAATAGTTTATATTGTGGCAGTATACTCTATGTTCTGCTTCTTTCAATTGATAATCTTAAATTCAGATTGGTTTTAGTAGTGTTTAATGGAATACAAGTCAATACAATTTTCAAAATTTGATAATTTACTCTTTTTTTTTGGCTCTGGTTCATTAATACTTTAAATGAGCCAAATTAGTTGTCTGTGTAGTTGTAGTCTATTAAGAAAATATGAATTTCATTGTTTCCACTGCATTGAGATGAGATGTGCCCATTATACAGGAAGTATGAGAAACTGAAAGTTAAGCTTTCTAAAAAACACTCTTTTTAATATAACCATTATCTACACTGTGGTGCTTATTCCATTAAATACTGTCTATTAGTGTTATAATTGAAAATGCTTTTTACTTAAATGCTAAAAACAATTCTGTAATTCGATAGGTGTACCTCTCTGAGAAACATAAGAGACAATGAGGAAAAGGATTCAGCATTCCGTGGGATTTGTACCATGATCAGTGTGAATCCTAGTGGCGTAATCCAAGTAAGATATTCACAATGATTTGTTTTTAACTTTAATGTTCTAAGTAATAAAATTATTTGAGGGGTGATTAGGAAAGATTATAATAGCAGATTCAGAGAGTAAGGTTACATTCTTACTTGGAATCGGGCCAGGTTGGGGTTTTTTTCCATCTTTATTTAGGCTTTACTTATTTACTTGCTTTGTACATGCCTCCTGTCATGAATGTCAATCAGATTGCTGAATTTGAGGATATCTACAACAGTATCAAACTGTAAATCAAATTTACAAACAGTAAATAGAATACTGAATCAGCCATTGAAATTGCTTTAAATTTGTGAACTTATCATTTATTCATCCCTATTTTGAGCTTAAATTCTTGTTACATTTAGGCATTTTAATTATTTGGTATCAGTACTGATCCTGAGTCTAGTAAAGTTTATAGATTGAATTGCCAGTTTCCTGGACACAAAAAACAAAGGAGCATGTTGAACTCCACCATATGTGTGCAAAAAACAAAACTCGGGCTGCGGGAGACCTACATTAAATGCAAAAAAATAAAAAAATAAAAATCTTTACATTTTCAAGAGAAAGGAGCTTTTCGGCCTTTTTAATTGAGATTTTGGTAATTTTTATTTTACATGTAGTGTTTGTTAACTTGGTTTTAGAAATGCAAATTATTACTTAAAATTCAAATCAATGTGATTGATAGGCATTGAAAATATACAGCTTGGAGCTAGAAAAAGATCCATGAAACATTAATCACTTAATAATCAAATAAGCCAATACTACCTTGAGGTAAGGATCCTAGTTTCAAAATAACCTCCTAGTATTGTTTTTCAGTAATAAATGTTGTTTTCTCATGTGTCTTACCTCTGTCTATTAAAAGAAACATCTTTTTACCAGGTATTATTAGTTTTTAAAGGTAGTAGAAGTACCACAGTGGTCATAAAATCACTACCAACTTAAGAGTTGGTAGAAATTTGTTTGTTAACTCTTCATATTAATCACAATTTTTATATATTCTGTGTGGGTTTGTTTTTGTTTTGTTTTTGGCTCTGGGAATTGAACCCAGGGGTACCTAACACTGAAACACTCCTCTGCCCAAAAAAGACAGGATCTCACTAAGTTGCTGGCTGGCTTTGAACTCAAAATCCTCCTGCCTCAGGCCCCCAAGCTACTGGGATTACAGGTGTCCACCACCTTGTTTGGCCCTGTGTGTTTAAATTTTTAACATTATCTTTGGATATTTAGATAACATTAGAATCCTGATTTGAATAAACAATGAACTTAATGTAAATGACATTTGCTTAAATAATTGTTTTACACATTTTGGTAAATTTTTTTTGTTTTCTGAACTGAATGGTAAAATTTGAAGTAGTTGACGTGTCAGACCATTAGCAATATGTTGAATGTTTTATGTTGAATTGTTAATAGTTCATTACGGTAATCAAAATTGAAGAAATATTTCTATGAAATATGTCATGGTTCTTTTTTAATTTTGAAGGAGGGTCTTACTAAGTTGCCCAGGCTGGACTTTGAACATGAAATCCTCCTGTCTCAGCCCCCTAATTAGCTAGGAGTACCAGAGTGAGCCACCATGCTTGATCTTGTAATCTGAATAACCTGAGAGGTTGAGACAGGAGGATTTCGAGTTCAGAGTCAGCCTCAGCAATGACAAAGTGATAAGCAATTCAGTGAAACCCTGTCTCTAAATAAAATATAAAATCAGGCTGGGGCTGTAGCTCGATGGTCAAGGGCCCCTGAGTTCAATCCCCAGTACCCCTAGTTCCTAATATGTCAGATTAAGCTCAGTTGATATATATTTAGCTGGATTTAAGTTGTTTCTATGCTGAGTCAGGATTGAATTTATATGATTAATTAATCCAATAATTAAAATATTTTATTGGTATTGATATGGTACTCTCAGTGTGCTAAGCATTTACTGGGCAGGGATTTGCTTTTTTTGTTGTTGTTTTATGATATAATAAGACATTTATTTACATCCTAAATAATTACTTCTAATTCCTTATCTTCGTTGATTTTAAATTTGTTTTTCCCCTTTTAGCTATGAGTGTATCATGACATAAATTTTGAGTCTTGCATATTTTGAATTTTGCTAAGTTTGATAAATGTATTATCAATCTAAGATGTGGTTTTTGCCTGTTACAGGATTTTATATTTTTTTGTGATGCTGTTGCATCGTGGATTAATCCAAAAGATGATCTCAGAGACATGTTCTGTAAGGTAACTAATAAGTCTTCATGATGCATGGTAGGACTATTAAATTTCCAGTTGAAAGTTTGAAATTTTTTTTAAACATTTAGTTTAAATTTAGGCTCTTTACTCTGGGTAGATTATATGACCTTTGTTCTTAATGTAGAACTACGTTTGGTCTTAAAATATGGTGTGACTATCAATAGATCATGCACTTTGAAAATATTTTCCATTACTTCGTGTACAGAAAATAGCATATTTACAGGGATGGGGTGTGGTTCAGTGGTAGAGCACTCATTTAGCCCCTGTGAGACCCTGGGTTTCATCCTCAGCATCATATAAAAATAAATAAATAAAAGTATTGTGTCCAACTACAACTAAAAAATAAATATTTAAAAAAAAAAAAAAGGAAATAGCATACTTTCCAAAAATGGATGCTGAAATTTGAAGTATCCCCTAAAACTATTGAACAGAAATGAAATCAAGTAGTCTTCACAAGAATTGAGCCTACATAGTTCTTTGCTTTATTAGTGCCCCTTTTGATTAATTCCATTCATCACTCAGTTATAACAGAATATAAGAAATAAAATGCAGTTACACGTTTGCATCATCTGATACTGAAATTAGTGAGCTATATTTTCGGCCATGAGATCAAAACTTATATAGTTCAAGTTTGAAAAGACTTGGCGTGATAAGTCTTATTCATTGGGTAAATTCTGTGCCTTTTTTATTTGTTTGTTTTTAATTATTGTGATGTCCGATTGCTTAGAATAAATTTGTTTACTAGAATACTTGTTGGATTTTATATTTAACTAAAGTATATTTTGTGAGATGCTTTTAGGCAAGTTATAGTGGTATAGATTCTAACAAAGTCTGAGCTTACTACTTTGAAATGGATAAAATATTTGAAAAAAATCAATATTGTTTGATTTCAAAAGCTATACAGATCAGTTTTTCTTTTGTTAGTGATGAATTAATGGTTTTTCACTCTTTGCAGATCCTTCATGGATTTAAAAATCAAGTTGGGGATGAAAATTGGAGGCGTTTCTCTGACCAGTTTCCTCTTCCCTTAAAAGAGCGTCTTGCAGCTTTTTATGGTGTTTAATCTAGTACACTTAAGCTGCAGTCCCAAAATTAGGGGTAAGTTATAAGAAGTTTAGAAATTTTCAGGATGAAAAATTTAGGATTATAATCTAAAACTGTAAAAGATAATTAAAAGCTATTTGTTTTCTATAGGGTTGGAATAATATTAGACTTTAAAATTACCTACATAAAGGCTAGAGGGGGTTTTTTTGTGTGTTTTTGGTTTGTTTCTAAGAATTTTGTTTTTTTGTTTTTAAGAATTTTGCCCCACAAGGGGACTTGAAAGATTCTGTTTTCTTTTGTGGGAGTGGAAGGCCAAATCCAGTGAGAACTCTTTTTTTTCCCCACATTTTCTGTGTGTGAGATTAACAATTCCCATCTTTTAGCTTTAGTTTCTTCATTAAATTATGTTGAGGATCAAATACTGAACAGTTTGCAGTGGTATAACTTAGTATATTGTTTAGCACATTTAATTGGCTTAGTAAATGTTAGAAACATTAGCCTGTACAGTGAACCAGAGTTTTGACATTGTTCAGGTTTTGAAGATGAATTGAATCGAGACTGATTTGACTGGAAGCCAGAGGGTGTACTGAATGTGTTTACAGAAGGTGTACCCCAAATTGAATTGTACTCGACACTAGAGTTCTCCTTTGCTTGCTGCCTGTTTAATCTGATTTAGGTTTTGAATCTGGAAAAAATGTACTATCCAAGTTGTGGACTTTTGCAACCTTAAGGAATGTCTCAGGCCCTTTGCATAGTTATCCCACTTAGGTGTCAAGTCCTCAGAGGTGTTTTGTGGCTTTAGCATGCTTATTAGTTCACTGTTGAATCATGTGACTGCAGTAGATGAAATGGCTTTGTTTTAAAGGGTTCAACATTGAGTTAATAAGTTTTGATCATTTTCAAATTTATTATCTCTTTGGTCTCATCATAAATTAACTGTGGTGGTGATTGTTCTGAGACTGGTATTTTCAGTTTCCTAATTAGAGCTAAAAGTGGATCGGTACCTCTTATTCCTGCCTTTTTGTACTCCTCTCCCATTTTTTCAGAGGCAGGAGAAAAAGGGGGTTGCTGTACTTCTCCACAGATGCACTAATCACCCTCTGTGAATTCACATGAATATTCTTGCATATCCAAAGTTTGGCATGAGTGGGTGGTAGAGTTTTGTTTAAAAGGACCACTATCAGGTAATAGTTTATCCAATAATCTTATCTAATTTATTTATGTCTTTTTCACCACTGAAACTGTGTTAGGAAATTTCTCATCAGGAAAATCAACTGGCCTGAAAAAATAACCAAATAAAGTTGGGAAGAGTAAAAATTAGAACATTAAGAAGATGGTATTAAAACTTGCTTTTGTATATTTACTGAATGTACTGTCTATAGTGTAATGCACATTTCTGGTCCTTGTGGTGAAATATCAAACAAAAATAACTAATGCTTTTCTGGTTCTTGAAGTAAATTTTTGTTTCCATAGTACTGGGTTTACTGGAAAAGTGAGTGATGTTTTAATTCTCTGTAAGTAAGAAAAGTGATTGTCCTAAAGAAAGTGGTATTTAATTTTGAAGACAGTAAGGTAACTTATTATATAAAAAAATAACCAGTTCCCATTAGGGTTCATTTTGCCCCCCCCAAAAAAAAAAAAAAAGAATTAGATTGGTAACATTATACAAAGCAAATTTTATCTGTACAAAGTTTTGTGTGCCTCTGTTTCCTCAGAGATGAAGGAGGAAATAAACTAAACTAAACTACAACTAAAAAATAAATATTTAAAAAAAAAAGGAAATAGCATACTTTCCAAAAATGGATGGATTTTTTACATCCTCACTTTTCATATCTAATGCAGGTAACAATTCAGAGCCATAGAAGAAGGAAGCAGTGTGGTTAAAATTAACTAACATAATCTTAGCCATTTTGTCCAATTTCTTATTTTATAGGTAAAGATAGTATTGTTATTTGATGAATTTTATGTTTCCACTGACAGTTGTTAAAGATAAAATTGTTTCTGTTGTTTCTTATAGGTCCTTCGGTCTTGGAGACTATGAGGGAGCCTCTGCACCCAGGGAAAATGTTACCCTTTACAGGGGGGAAGGGTATACCAGTAGGGAATACAGTACAATCCCAACCCTACTGGGAGGGGCGGGAGGGAGGTGTGCCGTCACTGTATTAAGTCGATGTTGGGAAACGTTTTAACATCTGGAGCCTTTGTGGGTGGAAATCTGTCTTCAATTACAACTCCGCACTGGATGTGAAGAAGCAAAAATAATCTATTCAGTCTACTCACAAAACAGTACGTTCTGGAATATTATGGGGAATTGTACCAAAACAAGAACCATATAAATGATGCATAGGGATAAGAAAGGAAAAATTCTATAGCGCACAATAAAGGAAACCTAAGAATGGGGGTTACAAACAGTAAAGAAGATTTTTTTTTTTTTAATTTAAAGGTTTTTATATAAATGTTCCCACATTATGGGGCCTTGTTTTGCATGCTGATGAAGAACTACACAAACAAAACTAATAGAGTTAAAATCAGCTTGCCTTCCCATAGTAGAAGCAGGTTCTTGGAAATTACAATTTAAGGTACCCCCAAAAAATGTTGAAAATAAAACAAAACAAATTTAAACAATGAAGCACCCTGTGAAATGCCAAATGAGTCACTCCTTTTACCTTTGCGGGGTGGGAGGGAGGGTGGAATAAATGGGGTTGGGCATATCAAAACTAAAGTTGACATCTTAATTTTACATTAAAACATTAATGTAGTGCATATAATTTGATGGTTGTACTTCATTAGATTTAATTTCTAGGCCAACACATTATTTTAAAGTGCAGTTTAAGGTTCAGGCATGCATTCTGGCTCATAGTGATTGAAAGTAAATTAGTGGGAAAGTAGCATGCTTGCATCACATAGAGTGAGATTGGTATTCATTGACCTATGTTGCGCCAGTTCGTGTTGCATTTTACCAATTCAATATAGCCCTGCATTTAAAATTCCTTTTTAAGATTTGTGGATTTTATTTTTATTAAGAATATAGATATATAAAAGTACTGTAGTTTACAGCTAGGCCTTGAAATATCTTTTTAGGATCTGTTAGGAATAAGATTGATATTGTATTGTGTGTAACCTGCACAATGTGGAAAGCTGATATACCTGTGCAAAATCTTTGCCTCTGTGCTGTCAGTGTGATGTGCTTTCTGCATGGTTATATACTACTAGTGATTTTTATCAAAACTTCTAAAACTTAAATGACATGGTAAAAGAGATCTGTAAAAGGCTGCATAAATGTTAGTTGGCACATAAAGACAATTGTAGAAGTTTAAAATGATTGCTCTATTTCAATGTTTATTCCCACTCAACATATTGCCTTCTAAGCTTTCCTTTTTTTGTTCAAAGCATGATCTTAAAGATATGTTTAAGTTAATGGATGTAATGCAGGGTTCCTACACTGTATTGGCGCATGTTGGTGGCCCTCTGTGCCCTAGATATATGCACACAGGGTGCAAGTTAAAAGCTACAGAGTGAAAGTTGGTTTGGATCCTCTTCATTTCATTTGTTTAGCTTTTCTGTTGTTTTTCTCTACTTACATGTATTCCTGTGAATAAATCCTTGTTAAGTTAACCCTTTACTTTTCCTTCCATGTGTATTTTCTTATATACTGTGAATGTGAAAACCTAACTGGTACACTTGATCTTATGTCCATATGAAAGTGCAAGTCTTTATTAATTTGGATTGCCTGAACAGTGTATCCCATGATGATGAAGGAAAATGGAGAGATTTTTCTTTTTAACTCTGCTGGTCAGAGACGAAGCCACGCCTTTCCATTTTTCAATGCTGCATATTTAATCTGCAACAAAATGTTAAGCCATAACAGCCTTTTTATATTTTAGTTTGTCACCTTTGCATTGCAGAATAAATACTAAATAACCATTTTTATAAGCAGTTGCTCCTCTTTGCATGGTTCTGTTCTCTTAAGTGTTGAATGATACAGCCATTGCACTGAAGTTTGAGCTGTGTGCGTGTGACTTTATAAATACTGTTTCATAAAATTTCAAATGCATGGTAGCATGTAGAAAGGTTTTTTTGTTAATTGTGTGTGTGTGTGTGTATGTATGTGTGTTTAACATGTTCTGTCATTCACTTTCTTTCCTCAACTTTGGCTTTGCAAATTTCAGTCTGTAGAGCCTGAAATTTAAATCATTTTATAATGTGCCCATTTTTTTTTTAAAATCTAGATTCAAAGTGTATATGGCATTTTGCTTTTTAGTATGGTTAGTTCACTGGGAGCTTAAAATTTCTTGTTTGTCTTTAAAACTTGGATAGGGTAGCTATTTTGTCCCTATGTTATGTCAGTGGCCTGTAATGCTTCAAATACTTTTTAGAACTTAATATGGGAGGTATTTTAATAATTTGGAATAGTGAGTAAACATTTTAAGTTTAAAAGAATGGCCAAATTCTTCTCTAAACTCAATAAAACATAAATAACCTTTAGTAGTTATCTAAACCTGTGATTGACAATTCTGTATCAACTAAAAGCAAAATTGTTGCTTCTCTGACTAGAAGTTAGCTTCCAGTTAGATGTATAAATTACAAGAATGCCCATCTTTGTTAGTCACTTGACATGTTTCTAAATTTAAAGAAAATTTAATCTTAAAATAAAAATAGAAGTAAATTAATATGACTGGCAACCTGAGATTAGGTTGAATTTTTTTGTTCCCCATTGAGGTTATTGTTTCTTCCTAATTTATATTAGATAACATAGTATATAGCACAGGAATTTGCAGAAGCCATTTTAGTTATCTTTTGAGGTAAGCTCTGATTTAGCATTTATTGTTCTGATAAAACCTAATACATCATGGGATATATATATAAAGCAACTTAATTCTTGTGGTGTAGTCTTAATAGTTTTGAGTGTTGACTGAATGTCTATGAGATTGTGAGTTTGTCTTTGTTACATTCCAGTGTTTCTGCCTCTTGGCATGCTTAAAGCACGGCTTACTTCATCTGCTCCTTACACACTAAAATGCTGTTAGTGTGCTCAACTACAGAAATAGCCGCTGCTAAGTGATGTAGATTTTCTACTTGAATATTTTTGTTGTAGGAACCTCAGGAGGTCAGTGTTTACTGTTTTATATATGCCTTCTTTTTCCTGTTTGAGCTTCTCTCTCTGAAGGATTCTAACAGAACAAAAGCTGCTGATCAACCTAAGTTGGAAACAGAAAGTGTGTTTAATATAATTTAAAATGCATGTTTGGCAGTTCCATGTTACCAGTCCATTAGCAAGTGAATTTAGTGCCACAGTTATTCATTTATTCAGGAAATAATTTTGCTTTTTGTATTGTCTAATCTCTTTAATGACTTCATACTGTGTAAAAAAATCACTTTTATATTTTTGGTTGATTATTTCCAAAATAATCAACATGTAAATATCTTTAAGAGCCAGTTCTGATGCTTTACATTATTGCTACTTGATTTTGTTACGCAAATTAGATTGCAGAACAATAGATTTTTAAATACTTAACCAAGCCATTACATCTTAAAAACAAAGCAAGTAGCATACATTTTGTAATTAACATTGATAAACACTGTGATTTTTTTGGTTAAGACTTTTTCATTGATCTGACTTGTTAAATTGCATATATTGTAAAATAGGATCAGATGTATATTTTAAAATGATTTCAACTGACTTTCCTCTTGAAATGCTTTGTCTACTCAGTTATAGAATATACAGATACAAGTTTTATCTCAGGTGAATACCTTGTATCAATTTTGCTTTGGTGGCATATGCTTATAAAGGGTCGTTATACTTAATTTAAATGGTCTTCATTTTTTGTGTATTTCATTGAGAATCTTCCCAGTTTGTCTGATTTCTCTTTTTCCCCAGTTAGTTTGCAAACTGGAATGGTATAGAACCCTCTTCACAAGCCCTACGCATTCAGGGTTACTGAAAGTGAGTTAAATTTGTTCCTCCTCTTCAAATCCTCAAAATAGGAAAGTGGATTTTTTTTTTTTCCCTCTGTATAAAGTTGTGTTCTGCATGGCTGAAATGCCAGGATTAAGCTAATTATGTCTTAAACCCTTCAGTCTAAATTTAAGACCTTTGCCATGAGGGAAAGTGTTTTTTGCTTCATATAGTTTGTCTATATTATTCATATTGAATGTATTAACAGATAATGGTGCAAAAACATTCTTTCCAAGAGAAGAGTGTGTCATGCAAAACTGCGATTTAAATCCTTCCTTTGGTAGTACTTCAAAATACAACTTTGCTTATCAAATTATTTTTGCAAATATTACCAGTGGGTAAAACACTTGCTCCTAGGATTGTTAATGAAGTGCAGTCATTGGAATCTGTAAGAAAACTGATCTTCGAATAGTTAAGGACCTGGGATAATCTAGGTGAAAAATCAGATCAATAGTGAGCTGTGTTGCTAACAATATTATCTAGTATTAATACATTGCAATGGCATTATATACCAACCTAATGCATTTCGTACTGTATTAAATATGGCAATGCTTCTAATGCCCTTTAAAATTATATTTCACTTGAAAGTTAGTTTCATTCACCAGTACATTTTCTAGGTGACTTGCGACTAATATTTTCAGTCTTATATATAGATCTTTCCCCCATTGGCACTACATATATGTAGATAACTCCTTATGCCTAATTATTATACATATTTTTAAGGTATACATTTAAATTACAGCAACTATGTATTGTGGTTTGTATCCCAGAATGTATTGTGTTTAAATAAAAAGATGCATAACAGCTGAATGTATGCATGGTTTTGAGGGAAGTTAAAATGGTGAATTTTTTTTCACCTCTTGTGCATTTTAAAACCAAGCCAAATCTATTTGCCAAGTATTGTATCACTAATTAGAAAACCAGTAGTTTTTCTTTTATTATAATTTTTGTTTACCATAGAATCCCTTCATGCTGTTGTGGCTTGGTATTATACAGAATTAGCTTTTTACAGGTCTAATTATCTTTCGAAAAGCATACTATATACACGGTTAGCCTCTAAGGCAGCGTTGGTCCCCTTCTAATGTCAGCTTTATAAAGGGGTTCCACTGTATACTTTTCTCATTACTTTGTTGTTTTCCTCTGGATATATAACCAAATTGAGCTTGGTTGATTTTTATGGAAATAATTAGACAATACCATGTAATTAATTTTACTCAATAGATTATCATCTTGTGAGAAGAGATGTTTAAATGTGGTAAATGACTTCACTTCATACTATAAAACAGTTTTACAATTAATAGACATGTTAACATTGGGTGCAATAATTTAGTAGTGTTAGCTTTAGTTAAATAACTGATCTTTCTGCTGACAACTTAGGTTGTATGAGTTACGCTTAAAAGCTTTAAATCTGATGTTTCCTGTACCTACCACACTATATGTTAGAATGTGTCCTTCAAACATATCCTCCTGCAACTTCTCAAACTGTACTAAATTGATATTTCTTGAAGTCTATCTAACTCTGTGCTAACAGATCTTCATTTTAAATAGAATACGGTTTTAATTTTTGATAAGCTGCTGAATTTTAATGAGAGTTTTTTGGGGCCACCAAATATTTTGGATCATGCAGAGAATATATATTGTACTGTAGTAATTTTGTATTTACATTTGTATGATGTGACATAATAGATGTGAATGTTAATCACTGCTTGACTATGTTAATAAAGTTGTTTAACTATAGATGTTGCACTCTTGATTTTTAATGAGAGGAAATGACCCACCCACCACCCTACCCCCATTTTGGTCCTGATAGATCTTGTGGGGTGTTTCTTCTTTTTTTGTTAAAGCATTTTTGTTTTGTTTTCCCTAGTTTACACATTAGTACATTCTTGTCTAACATTGTTTTTTTGAATTTAGTATGTTGTGTAGTAAAAAGCTTCTTTCCCTGCATTTTGAACTTAATTCCTATTAATTGATAAATTTTCAAATGGTTTCTGTTTAGAAGATAGGGGAATTCTGCTCTACAAAAAAGAGGAATTAAAGGTGAAGCTGTAAATATAAAACATAAAGATAGACTGCATGAATGTGTATGAATGTATGACCTATTGAGGCTGTTTATCTTTCAAAATATTAAGACTTGTAATTTTGGAAATTTTTAACATTTATAAAACTAGTCATTTCCTCTTCAGGTAGTAATCTTTTTAATATTAGTTGCATGTTACTAATTAAAATTAAATGCATTAATACACATAAGGGAATATGTGTTCATGACTCTTAAGTGGTTGTCTATTTGAGATTTGGAACATTTGAGAACAGGAAAAGGCCTAAAAGGTCAGTGTAACCCAAAGACTGCTTAAGTGCAGTGCAGCTTGGGTTTCTTAACTTTTGTTACCTTCACATAAAGATATTTAATATGTCACAGTTGTGTTGACAAGAAGGCAAATTGTGATCTGGATGTTGTTATAAAACATAATTAAGAAAGAATTTAAGATTCCAGAGTTCAGAACTTAGAATCATGGAAAAAGTTGTGGACATAATCATTAATTCAAAGATTATGATTTGCTGCTAATTTTTTAACTGCCTCAAGCTATAAAAACCTTTCATAAATCTTTAGATTTTAGTGAAGTATTGTCAGTTTTATGCAAATGTTTTTTCTTCTCAGTTCAAGTAACTAAACCATACTAATGAGTAAAGCTGGGTTATTGATTTTGACATCTTTGTCTTGTACTGGGATTTTTTAATAGGTATTTATATTTTGTAATAGCTGCATAATCTAACTCCCAACAATTTACATTTCATATGATTGTTTATGAATGATTGGAGAAAGTGGCAGTTAAAACTATGCAACTCTTGTGTTTGGATTTTGTCTGTATTATGCACTTGAATATGGAAATTGAAGCTGTAATTGTCATTTTGTAGTCTTTAATCCGAGTCTTGTGTTAATTTGGAAAAAATTTAAGAACCTCCTGAAAGATCTCCCAAGCATTTATTTTGACAGTTTGCAAACTACAATTTGAAGTTTAACGTAAATTCTAATCCAGTGAGAATAATAAAAGAATAGCTATATCAAGAACCTTTAGGGGTTTGTGCCCAGTTATTAATGTAATCCATTTCTGTGCTTGTTAAAGTAATCTTACTGTGACAATTTATATTGGTTTTCAAAGAATGTCATTTAACAAGCATTTGAGAATGACAAGTGAACAATTTTTATGAATTTTAATACAGTTACTCAGTGTCATAACTACTGTTAATAATTCTGTGCACATACGAATATATAGTAAATTTATGCATTGTTTTTAGTCAGTATGTTGTATCTAAACATAGCTAAGTGGTATTCTGTGAACAGTTCACACAACTGCCTTAGTATTGTTGGACTTTCAGAAGTTTCTAATTATTCATTCTTTGAAATAATTATGGTTAGTGGTGTTATCAGGTCCAAAGGAGAGTAATCGTCCACAGCAGCAACTTGAAAGTGTGCTGTCACACTATACTTTGTAACTTAATAGTATGGCTTTCTATCTTTAGGAAATTTTATATGTGGAATTAATGATTTCATATTACATATTTAACAGTTATCTGTTATGTTGCAGGCACTCTTCCCTGGTCTTAAAGAGCTTACATTCTATTTTAAGGAGACAGATGTGTGAAATAGGCTATGATGGTAATTAATGCTTGGTTAGAACAGGAAGTGGAAGATCTGAGGGTGTCATTTGAGCAAAAACCTGAGTGTCTGGAAGAGAGTATTTCATGTAAAGGGAGCAAAGTCAGTAATATATCTGATAGTTATTACAGATGAGAAGGGTATAACTGGAGTGCCCAGAGCAAGGGAGAAGAGTGATAAATTAGATCTAAGGTAACTGGTTGGTTTTATATTTGAAGTAAAGGGCTGTGGTGTAGGAGTTTGTAGTAGAAAAGTGATATCACTGATTGAGAATGAACTCTAGCCCAAGGGCAGAAACAGACCACTTAGAGGTTGCTATTATCTGGGGAGTTACTGATAAGTTAGGGTAGAAGTGGAGAAGGTAGATCTGGATGACATTTTGAGTCATCAACAAGGTTTGCCAACATAGTAGATAATGTAGTGTAGGGAACTAATCATAGGTGTTTCTTAGACCATCAGCCTCATGAGCAGCTAGAAGAATGAAATTGCCATTAATTGGGATAGGAAAGATTTATATAGCATTTGTTTTGATATGTGAGCAGTAGATTGCATTGGACTTCAATAACCTACCTGAAGATGGAAACCTGGAAGGTGTGTATAAATCTCATACAACAAAGCTAAAATATATCTGAGGATGCAAATGGAGGGATGAAAATGGCAGGAACTAACCCTGAAACATTGCTCAATTCTTAGACTTGAGTATATTGTAAGGAAAACCAGAAAAGCATGGTATTCTATGGGCATAGATCAAGTTAAGAGGACAGAATTTACATTTAACAACATTTTGAGGTTTGGGGGCATATTTTTAAACTAGAATCAGAATAACTTAACCTCCTTCCTCTAAGAGTTTCTAGAAACCTTGTGTTTTGATTTTTCAAGGCCAACTTAATTTTCCTAACAACTGAATCAAGAAATTTAGAAACTTATAAGTAGGCTGAAGTAACCTGAGCCAGATTATTTTCCTAAATGGTTATGTAGTGTCTAGATTTAGAAATAAACACTTAACTATTTCAAAAAGATTAACAGCCTATTGTAACTAGACAAGATTGTTTTTAAAAGTTAATAAAGTAAGCCAGAAAAAATGGGTTGCTCCATTCTTATTTTTTTAAAACAAAGTGTGATTACATTAAAACTACAGCAGCATGCAAAGATCAATTAAAATAATGAAAACATATAAATATACCTAAGACTAGTCTGTAGTTCTTCAAATCAATGAATAAAGATGGGCTGTTTGACAAGTGTTGGGAAAACTTGAGTAGAAATTTGCAGGAACAACCAAAAAAAAAATTTTTTAATATATGAGAGTGTCTTAAAAATTTGGAAACAACTTGGAAGCCCCTTTCCCAGACTGGTTAGTTTCCTCAAGTCAATAAGATGAACAATAGAAAAATAGGCAATGTTCACAAAATTTTCTGTTTTGAAGATATAGATTCTTTTGGGAAGCTCTGAGGCACAGGGTCAAAAGTTCAAGGCCTGCCTAGGCAACTTAACAAGACCCCAACTCAAAATAGAAAAAAAGGATTGGGGTTGTAGATCAGTAGTAGAGTGCTTGTCTAGTGTGCTTGAGGCCCCTGGCTTCAATCACGGGACCAAATTTTTTTTCCTTTTAATTGGTATTTAAATTCTCAATTTAAGTACATTGAAATATGGCTGCAATTAGATCATGTATTGACGAAAGGCAAAAAATCTGGATGCCATTCTCATTTAGTGACTACAGAAATAAACATCCATTGCTAGTTAGGAGTAAAATAGTATAACATGAAGATCAATAATTATCTATACACACTTGCAATTATGTTCTGGAAATTCATCTTGTGAACTTGATTATGTTTACACAAACCTGTTCCTAGGCAACAAATCTATACAGTGTGGTAGTATACTGTAGGCATTTATAACACAATAGTGTATATTTAAACAGAAGAGACAGTAAAAATAGACAATCCAGATTTAGGAGTTCCACATCCTTTATGGGACAACAGTTCAATATATAGTCCATTATTGACAAATATCAATACACAGTGTTGACTGTATCCTTTAACCTAGAAGTCATTAAACTACATGATAGCCAAAAGATAAATGAAAGGGTGCTAGATAACCTTCACATTCACTAAACTGATGGCACAGTTTTGTAATCCCAGGGGCTGGGGAGGCTGAGGTGGGATGAACACATATTCAAGGGCTGGGGATATAACTTGGTTAAGTGCTTTTGTGTTCCATCCCCAGTACTACAAAGGAAAAAAAATTGAGGGGCTAGGGTTGTAGCTCAGTGGTGGAGTGCTCACTTACCATGTGCAGGACACTGGGTTCAATCCTCAGCACCACATAAAAATAAAAGTATTGTGTCCAACTAAAACTAAATACTTTTTTTTTTTTTTTTTTTTTAGTTGAAAGCTCAGGGGGCATGACTCCTTAAAGAAGAATGGTAGCAGAACAGGAAGTTAAAACGCTGATAACAGTTTGCCATTGAAAAAGTTACATACACCAAGACAGCTATTCTCCCCTAGGTGTGTATGTGGATACCTTAAAATATATGCATGCCAGGAAACAATCTTAAAGCAAAAGAACCCGAATGTCCAATAGAATAGATAAATTTCAAAATAGTGCTGAGCAAAAGAAGCCAGTCTGTATAGAATACTTGGAGATGACAAGATTCAAAATGTTGACCAAATTGTACTGTTAATGTCATGTGCATGTACAAATACCTGAAACAAATTCATCTAATGTAATTATACCCCAATAAAAATGAAAAAACAGGGTTGCCTCGTTCATAAACCCACTATTTTATACATAGTCGTATACCACCAGAGAAGACATTTGATAGCCATGTATTGGTGTATTGACAACCCCGCCCCTTATGTTTAGCAAAAAGAAATGCCCGTTTATGGTAACACTTATGTGTTTGATGTGTTAAGATCATTCTTTCTAGTGTGCTTGGAAACTAAAGAGCATAAGCATTTTTGTCATTAAACTAAGGTAATATTTCTACAAGAACAAATAACACGATTTCTGTATTCACAATTCAGGTGTCTTTACTGATAAATTTCCTCAAGTACTTTTATCTTTTCACTTTGAAGGCCTG